CCGCACGCCCCTGCTAGCCCGGCCCCACCCCCCAGCTCTGCCGGTGCCCCTCACTCCCGACCCGCACGCCCCTGCTAGCCCGGCCCCACCCCCCAGCTCTGCCGGTGCCCCTCACTCCCGACCCGCAGCCCCTGCTAGCCCAGCCCTGGAGGGTTTTTGCAGTGGGTGGGACGGGGCGAGGGTGGGAATTTCCCGGGCAGGTTTCAGCCCCTAAACCTAACTCCCCCCTCCCTCCCCGCCCAAAACCGAACTCAACCATGCTCCCGCGCCCTCTGGTGGGGAAACCGGGGAACTGCGGCCTCGTGGGGGGCCTGCCCCCCCCTCCCAGCCCTTTGCTGTCCCTGCAGGAGCCAGGCGGGAGGGGGAGACGCTTCCTCTCTGGCGGGACCCCTGGGAACCAGCCCGTTACCCCAGGAGCTGCCGGTCACCCCGGGCAAAGGTGCCCCTCACTCCCGCCCCCAGACCCCCCCGCTATCCCAGACCCAGCGAACCTCACCCCACTTCGCAGTTTGGGTTGAAATCAGGGGATTTACCCAGCCTGGGGATTGTGTGTGTGTGTGGGGGGGGCATTGGAAGGAGCCGCTCAGGAGGCGAGCAGGGACCCCCCCACCCCAGGTCGCTGAGGTCAGACCAAGGGCCGGAGTCCCCACAGCGGGGCTCATGCCAGCAGCTTTAACCTTGGGGCGAGGGGGGGGGTCATCTCTGCTTCCTCAGCTCCCCCCTTCTGCGGCTTCCCCCCCATTGGGGCTTCCCCAGGGGAGAGGCTCCGTCTGTCTGGACACGTATGGCCATAGACTATCGGGGTACCTGGCCTGGAGCCCCCCCCCGCAGGAGTCCGAAGAGCTGAGGGGGTGTGTGGGTGTGGAAGGGGGGAGGGGGACATGCACGGGGGCTAATCTGGGGATGGCCAAGGTCCGAGTGCCACGTGGCCTTTGCTCATTCACGTCTCCAGTGGCAGAGAGTTCCACAGGGCGGTCCCGGCCCGGCGGGATCTATGGAGCCCTAGCGGTGCCCTGACAGGGCCCAGCCCTTGTGTCTACCAGGCTGCCAGGGCTGTGCGTGTGGGGTGGATTGTGCCCCACGGACCAGGGGGCAACTGACTGCCAGCGGCCAGCCCAGGGCAGATTCAATATGCAGGTGAGTGCCTAGAACATGGGGGGTGGGGGTGGGCTGCCTGTCGCGCTCCAGCCCCCCGCCACCCACGGGGCCAAGGGCGGCACCTGGAGGCCAATGGGGGAGGTGCAGGTGCCCGGGACAAGGCTCTGGGCTTGGCCTGGGCCCTTCCTGTGCATCCCCCTTCCCTGGGCAGCCGCTGGGCCCCTAAACTGACCCCCAGGCTCCCAGCCACAGCGGTGGGGTCAGCGCGCCCCAGTGCCAGGGGGAGGTGCTGGGGGGCTCCAAGCTGTGGGGTCAGCACACCCCAGTGCCAGGGGGAGGTGCTGGGGGGGGGCTTTCCCAGCTCCAGGGGCAAAGGAGGGGGGGCACGAGAGAGCAACATGTTTTGTTAAAAATGTTTTATTTGCCAAAAAGGTATAAAAAAGTACAAACCTCCCCCCCCCGCGGTACCCCCCGCCCCTCCTCCCCCCCCACGGGCAAAGGACGCCCGGCAACTCCTCGGACACAAACTGTCCAGGCTGCAGTCAGGGTCGGTCCGTGCCGGCCCGTCTCGCACTCGGAACAGCCCAGCCAGACTCGGGGCGGGGGAGGGAGGCAGGGCCGTTCTCCCCGAGCCCTGGCTGGGAGCTCAAGGACCAGCCCGAGGCCCCCCCAAGTCATGGTGGAGCCAGGATCCGAATCCAGCTCCCTGGTGTCCCCGCCCAGCGCGCCCCCCGACCCAATGCCCTGGGCAGGGAGATCCCGTGAGGGGGGAGCCGCCCCCGAGTGCGGGGAGGGGGGATGATGGAGGACACAGCTCCCAGTCGGCACCCAGGGAGTCGCTCTGCTGGAGACAGGCCCGGGGGTGAGTCAGGACGAGAGGGCCGAGCTCCCGGCTTCCAGCCCCCTGGGGCAGAGGAGTGGGGTGTGCGCAGGGGAGGGGGGGCAGGAAGTGGGTGGGTGACAAACATGGGGCGCAGGGGGTGGGGGGCGCTGGAAGGACCAGGGGCTGCAATGTGGGAAAAATCCTGCAGCCACCTGAGCCCCTTCCCCCCCCCGCCCCCCCCGGAGGCAAGCAGCACCCCAGAGCTCTGGCCAAGCAGGGAGACTACGAGTCCCAGCATGCAATGGTGCTGAGCTGTGCATGCTGGGACTCGTAGTCTCCCCAGGTGACCCCCAGCCGGAGGGAACCCGAGGCAGGTGGGGCGGGGGGGTTATATCCGGACAGCCCCCGAGACGACGCCCTCCCAGAGCCGCGGGGTCAGGGGCACGTAGGCCCCCGAGGCGTCATCCAGCAGGTACAGCGGGTCCGGGAGGCGCGTGGGGTCGCAGCCCTCGCTGGCCAGACGCACCTTGTGCTGCTTGAAGGTCTGTGTCATTGCCAGCTGGTCCTGCCGGGGAGGGGAGACGAGACGCGTCAGAGCTCAGACAGGGGCTGCAGGGGGGGGGGGCCCTGCTGGAGGCAAGGGGGTTTGGGGGGTGCAGGTGCCAGAGGCTGGGGGCTCCTGCTGGCGGACACCCCCCGGCCTGGATTCCTGGGTCTTTTCTCAGGTCCTTTAAGCTGCCAGAATCCCCCCCCCCCAATACAGCTTCACCAGACCAAGCTGTTGTGCTGGGTGCCCCGGTGGGGGGGGGAGCTCTTGCAATTTGGGGGGGGCAGTTGCTATGTGCTGTCTGGGGCTTTAATGAGGTGACCCCTGCAGCTCCACCTGGATTTGGGATATTTG